GGGCTATTATCTTCGCAGCTACGAAGTTATACTCGTGACCCAACTCGTAGGTGTGGGCCGCTACTTGCGACAATGCGTCACCCCGTCTGACCGCCAGATTATGTTCGTGTATGCGCAAACCGAGCATGCGTTCAGATTGCCCTGTATAGTTACAAGGACAGCTTAAGCATGCAATGCGATCCACTAACCCGGATTGTTGAATGGCGTTCAGCCGGTCTTTCATTTTCATTACCCGGTTGCGCAGGACAGACTTGGGTCTGTGTGCCATTCACACACCTACTCCCACAGCGATGTACTCAGTTGCTCCTGAGACGTCCTTGATGTATGGCAGAGCGTGTCATTTCCTCGATGGTTCTTCCGTTTGGGTCTTCGGGGCCGAACGCGTAGGCATCCGTTTCTAAATGCTTTTTAATAACCATTCCTCATAAATTGGTCACGGAGATATCGGGCCTCGCGTACCTATTCCTCCAGCTTACAGCGATGGGTGTGAATCCGTTTAAGGTGGTTTTAGGTAAGTATGAGGGGGTACAGTTCTGAAGTAGTACGCCTAAGAAGGTCCAGCGGCGGGCATTCAAGCTTTTCAAGGCCAAGACTACCTGTCTTACTTTACGGCGTTCCGGAATAAGATAGAACGGAAATGAACAGTTATTCCTCAGTTAACGAGTTTAATTCTTCCCGGCATCGAGCTCGTCATGTGAAATACTCGTCGTACGCAACGAATTTCTTCCGATCACATAATTGTACTATAATTAAATCGTTCCATTCTCGACAAAGTACCATACTAATTGTGCAGTATTAATTTAATAGAAGACGGGAAAACGTTCTCTGTTTTTTGTTGTGCTTTGCCTTACAAAGATTCGTTGCTGGCTTGGGAAAGACCATGGGGAGGTGTTCAGCAGGAGAGAGTTTACGGTGTGGAACGAGAATCTAGCTCTAAGATAGGCAGACTCTCTCTTCTTGTGAATTTCACCCTACTAGGTGAGAGCTCGTAGCCAATCAAACTACATCAGTTTACTGATTGGTTGCAGGCGACCGAGGACTCATGCCCCGTTAAAGAGACTCGACGGTGGACGAAGGCCTATTGACAATTCGTTAAATGAACCGAAGCTCTTCAATCGAGACTAACTTTCTCCAAGTTCGCTCGCTTGTTACCTGAAGAGCGTGGACGAGTGCATGCTGCTAATTGACTGTCGGCCACGCCAAACGCAGAGCTTCTATTTGGTTCTTTTGTGCACACAATGCCGGCTTCATCAACCTGATGGCGGTCGCTTGTGTTGTTGCTAGCAGGCGCTGACTTCGGATAATTTAGTGAGACCTTAAATCACTGAAAAGGCTTTGTCGAGTTCCACACGATGTCCGGAATCAATCAGGTGCGTCAGAATAGAGCTGTTTATGCTGCTGACTTTAACTATTCTCAGCCATGTCGGTAGTTATTCCTTGATTATTTTGGATAAGCGCCGACCCGTTCGACCAATATAACCTGCTCCACAGGACAAGGAAAGGAGAAGATGCACACAGAGGCGGTCTGAGCTGGTAACCTATCCTTTCGTTTGCCATGTGAGACCAGGTTTGGTCAAGGCGTCTTTTCAGGAGTGCACTTGCCGCGTCCCCTCGAATGGGAACTTTGAAGAATAATGCTTTCTCTTTCACTTTTAATGGGTTATATTTGTTTCGCAGCCATATTCCTTATAATAAATCTCTCAGCATACCTGTTCTCACGAAGAAGGTCGTGACTTTTCTTGACAAAGCCGTGTCACGAAACTTCCCAGCAGCTATAAATCGGGTCAGCGAATGAGCACAATGTTGGTGTAAAAACGGACATGGGTATGTGACTGATTGCACAACATAACGGGCAGGCCCTGAAGGCCTACCACCAACGCGATGTTTACAAGGCAGTTCTCGTGTAAACAGTCTGTATATCTGTACTTTCAATTCCAGAGTCGGGGGGGGGGTATATTAGACATGAGCTAGTATGCAATCACGCCTTCGCAGTTACAACGACGATGACGCCCACACACGATCCTACTAACACTCACCTGCAGGGAGGTGTATATAAGTAAGAGAGAAGTGACCCTTTGCATAGACAGAACAGTCGTCTGATTGTACTCCCTTGACATACACCTTCATTATGACCAGCCTCTCGTTAATACTGCTGTTTGCTGTTGCGCAGGCACTCGTATGCCTGGCGTCGCCAAGCTACCAGATTCTTGAAGTAGAGGATGAGAAGGATGTTATGAGTGAAGACCTGAAAATGACTGCGGAGGATAAGGAGAAAGAGGAGGTGGAGAGTTTCAATGATGACAATGAGGAGCTGAAGGCGGAAGAAGTTAAAAATATTCTGGCACCCGCAGGTCTCCGATGTCATAAC